GTGTGTGCTCGTGCGTGATAAGCGACCTCGAGTCTTAACCGACTTAAATATTTAATGTGTCATTACATTTTTCAAGCAATCCAGACATGGGACAAGCATCTTAAGATACAGTTTTTTTACTGCATCGCGGTATCAATGATTCATTTAATTATTTTGGACTGACATTAAATCATGTCGCCATGAAAAATATCTCAAGTAATACTAAAAGTCCAAAAATGTACTGTAGCGGTTTTTTTCCTCAAAATGGTATCAATTAATAATGGACATAGCGGATAAATGATAGTTAGACCCACGTCTTGAGGTTTCACGTTTTCAGGTGCAGGCCAATTTGATTTCAATTTTCAAATTATTATATGTGTATTTGGAGGGTAGCAACAAAGGGTAGGTCTTCCACCCAACGGGTGATACTGCTCGGTAGACCGACGGTCCGAATGTTGTTGTTCGGAACTTGTATATATGGAGGTTGTCTTGAAAAATTTGCGAACAAGATTCAGGCATCTGTCAAATATATTTTGTTCTGTGACGGCTACCGCCACATGTGTCTGTTTAGAAGTCGTCGTGACCTGATGATAAGATGCCCACTATACTCATATTTAGTGATGCAACACTATAATATGCTCAAAACCCCATAGGCAGGAACAAACTTTTATATTAAACTAGCTGACCCGGCAAACTTCGTAGCGCCACAATCGATAAATAAAAGACATAAACTTTTGTATAAAATAAACTTAAAACAAACAAAAGGAATCCGTCCGACGGGGGACACATCAAAGAAAAAACAAAATTGTTGTTTTTATTCAATTCGGAGCATTTTGATATTTATCTACCTTTTAAAAGTTTAACTCTGGACTTCCACAAATAATTCAAGACCAAAATTAGCCAAATCGGTCCAGCCGTTCTCGAGTTTTAGCGAGACTAACGAACAGCAATTCATTTATATATGTAGATTTCGTGCTCACTACTTATTCGCGAACGTCTTCTACGATGAAACATAACATTGTGCTATCATCCACTTAGAATTAAGTAGATGATAATTAATTCTAAGCAGATGATAACGCAATCTTTTATTTTATCGGCAGAATTGCCGCGAAGTAATTATGGGCTTGGGTTCAAAAAATGCCAGAGCTATTGTAAAATTCGATCAATTTCAACTTGGATCGCATATGCTAAAGTCGGTAACCATTTAACATTAGTTAGGCCGTGATTCTTTGCCCCGACTACTTAATAAAAAATAAATCTATTTGCTTTGGTCGATAATTTGTTTTCGGCCTTTATAGGTCGGCGTATGATCCACCCTAATGGTAAGTCTAGTCAAGAACGTCGCTCAAGAATGTCAACAATGCTAAAAGTACAACCAAACCCGTGCCTACAAAATTTTTGAACTTTCAATTCAATATTAAATACATTTACCGTACTGTAAATCATGTGAGACTACAAGCGAGCGAACGCCTCCATGTATTGAATTATATATAGAATAAATAATGGTTGCAATTTTCCATCTGAAAATTCATTGGTCTGTACTCGTTGGTTAATGTACGAAAATTTATTTCACTTACGGAACATTTTCAGTTCACACATATTGTATTCTTGGCCCGTGCTAAATTATAAAACATTTTTAATATACATATTTATTTGTTAAGTCTACGGCGGATGGAAGTTACGATAGTTTCAAACTTCTCAGACATATTTTTTTTTTAAACTATTGCATAGCTTATACCGTGTGCTTTGAGCACGGCGAAGGAATCAAGAAATTCCGTAACGAAAATAAAACCTAACATCCCCCACTCCGCCTACCATGTGGCTCGCGCTCAGCACATTCACACGTTGCGCTTGTGTAGAGTTTGTGAATAAGTGCGCGGCGTGACGTCGCACTGCATGCGCATCATGAAAAGTCTGCCCATCTCTCTCTCGCACGGTCTAGTTTATGAGTGTGAAACCGAAAGTTAATGTTTTGCTTTTGTTAATGCTTATAAATATAGCGTGCTCTTATTTTATTATTGTTTTAATATTTAATTATTATTGTCTAATTATAATTGCATAACTTGATAAAAAATGCTATGCAATAGCTTTACCGCGGCAGTCCCCGAGTGCCATACGTGTTTTTTTTATTTTATTGCTTAGATGGATGGGCGAGCTCACGGCTTAGCTGGTGTTAAGTGGTTACCGGAGCCCATAAACATCTACAACATAATTGCCGCTGCCCACCTTGAGATATAAGTTCTCAGTATAGCTACAACGGCTGCCCCACCCTTCAAACCGAAACGCGTTACTGCTTCACGGCAGAAATAGGCAGGGTGGTGGTACCTACCCGCGCGGACTCACAAGAGGACCTACCACCACTAAAAAACAAATGCAAAATAAATAGCAAAGCCTCGCACAATAGAAATCTGTACATTCGAATAGCAGAAACGAAGTTTTTGTGTCGTCTGCGAATAGGCAGTGGTCCGAATGAGCATTCGAGTTTGACCGGCCTAAGGTGTAATCTATACTAATATATAAATCTACAGTGGTTTTTACGGATGTTCCGTTATAACTACTGAACCATGCATCCGATTGACTTGAAACTTGGTATCCATGTAGAAAATACATGTACTTAATGGATAGGCTAAGATTTATATTAGTGTTGGACTCCCTACACCAGTTGCGGGGGCGTTAATGATGAGAATCTTTGTGGGTGTGAGAAATAATAGTGTTAATTTTAAATGCCCAGCGAAGCGGACGGGTTCAGCTAGTTCATATATAGAAATACAGGTGTTTCAATATTCACGATGTCCCTGAAATTAACTCGCAGAAACGTTTGATATTGTCAGACATGCTACAGCAAACATAGACCAGTGTAATTAGACTGCTAGTTTTGTAGAATGTATTTTCGGCCTCAAACCTAGAGTTCTCATTTCGAATTTATAACTGCGATATCATATTACGTAATGCTTTTCAAATTTAACTGACGCGTAAGTGGAATGTCGGAAAGGGTTTGAGTCAACGTAGCATTGCGGATCCTGTAAACTCAAAATAGAAGATAGCGTAATAATGTTATCTGAGTTGAGAGTGATGTAGGAGAAATAAAACAAGGGAAGCTTTGTTTATGAAATCGACTGACATTATGTTTTTTGTTTGTCTCACAGAACCGGGCTGTGATAACATAATGTGTACTTGCTTTGAAACACCTGGTGTTAAGTGGTGACTGGAGCCCATAGACATCTAGGACGTAAATGTGCCACCCACCTTGAGATATAAGTTTTAAGGTCTCAGTATAGTTACAACGGCTGCCCCAACCTTCAAACCGAAACGCATTATTGCTTCAGGGCAGGAATAGGCGGGGTTGTAGTACCTACCCGCGCGGACTCACAAGAGGCCCTACCCCCAGTCCAAAGAAAGCTCGAGAAAGAATGTCTGTGGATAGCATTATTTACATTCTAATCTCTATGGGCTCCTATTATAACTAGTTAACAGCAGATGGACCGTGAGATTAACCGTTCTGTTAATCCAAAATCTTACAGTTCTTCTTACAAGACTAGTGTTAATTAATAAAAAATATATTTGATACTTTATTTACTTTAGTGACTGAAAACGTTCAGAATTGATCGAAAATATTGAAATCGACGATTAACAAGTTTGACACTAAAAGTCAATTACTGGAAATCGTTTATTTTCAATCAGTTCAACCTTTATTCATTTTTAATGACTACATTAATACACACGTACGACATTGAGTATTTTATACGACGTGCGACAATTGCGTTACTCCAAAATAACTCAGAAAAAAGAGAAAAGTTTTATAGGAGGGGGAGATTACTGGTGACCCGGAAGACATCCCAGTTTCACCAGGAGATATGAGCAAGCACGGGCTCCGCCAGGAGGAGTCGTATTTGCTAACAGCTGCCCGGGCGTCTCCAAAGAAGACCTAACAGCTCAAGGGCAGCTACTTCACGAATGCATCTACTGCCGGATCGGAATCGCGACCTGCCGAGAAGATCCCGGGAGAAACGGGCTGATGTATGAGTGAAGTTTCACGTCGAACTCTCCGAGGTCGATCATCACAAATAAATGATAAATTCTATTTACATATTTTAAACCATCATCTACATGTTACATCTTCTACAGGGTTCTTTAAGCGACATTTAAAAAAATATTGTAGCAGTTTGATTGTGGTTTAAGTGTATCCCGCACATTAAAAAAATAATTAATACGTCATATAATAATATGTTAGCTTTAAAACTGAGCTCACTAATTACTGTATCCAGCAAATCGAATAAGAATTTGAATAAACATGATGGTATTCTATTGTTTTAATAAGCCTATTTTTTCCATGCGTAGTGATTCTTAAGCCTTGAAATCCAGGTACGGAATCGAAGTTTTCCCAAAACTTAAAGTAGAAAATGTAAGTGAATTATATAAATCTGTTCAAATATCAAAGCTATCATTAATATACACGATGTGGTTCGCATAACACTTTTAATGGTAAAGTACTAAATAATTTTTTAGGAAAAAAGTATGTTCTTTTATACAGCACAAACTATTTCCTTATAATTTCATGGTATCGTCTTTGCGCTAAGTGGGTAGACGAGCTCTCGGACCACCTGATGCTAAGTGATAATGGGAGTCCATATACATATGCTCATATTACATTACCTATTTTTGCCGAGAATAATTTATGTTTGTGGTGTATGAAAGTTGAGGAAGCCGCCAGCCTGTAATATACTTGAGGCAAGTGATAAAGTGACTGTCTGGTTGTAGTGTTGACCGCGGGAAGCCCCTACTCTGACCGGGTTCTGACCCCGGACGGAGATCAGACCTCGGGTGTAAGAGTGCAGGGGAGTCGTTTAGTGGGTGGGCCCTAAAATTCCTTGGGCCCGCGATCTGTTCTCAACACCTTGCAGATCGTCAAGTCCCACATACCCCGCACGCTCCCTAGGCGCGGGGACCTCGCAGAAGGTTCGGTCCCCGGCACGAAAAAAAAAGTGATAAAGTGACAGAAATGTCAAAAAGTTTGCCCTCACCTATGACGTCCAAGATGATTTTGTGGTTTTTCGTTGGGGATATCTTGAAGTCGACCCTGCAGCGATACAGAGCTCGGTCTGTTGCAATGATGTCTCGTATACGTAGCGACGACGGTGCTGTGGACAGCCACCTAGCCCTGCCGGCTAATACGTCGTCGGCCCAGTGTGCAGTTGGCCCTTTCACTCGTCCGTCGTAGCTGGGAACAAGATTACATTAGTAAAAACAACTTTAATAGTTCAATTTAAGATGGCCATCTTAGTTTTTTTTTATTGCTTAGATGGGTTGTCGAGCTAACAGCCCACCTGGTGTTAAGTGGTTACTGGAGCCCATAGACATCTACAACGTAAATGCGCCACCCACCTTGAGACATAAGTTCTAAGGTCTCAGTATAGTTTCAACGGCTGCCCTACCCTTCAAACCGAAACGCATTACTGCTTCACGGCAGAAATAGACTGGGTGGTGGTACCTACCCGCGCGGACTCACATGAGGTCCTACCACCAGTTTAAGGGTAGGCAGCGGCTTGGCTCTGCCCCTGGCATTGCTGAAGTCCATGGGCGACGTTAACCACTCACCATGAGGTGGGCCGTATGCTCGTCTGTATACACGGGCAATAAAATAAATAAAAAAGCTGCACAAGCTTTTAGACTTTTATCGTCTTTTGAGATCGTATTACAATCAGATGGAGACTTCGAAGTTTCCGCGATGCGTCCGCTATAAATGAACTTCGTCACATCTCGTCAGAATCGAAAATGAGTATTACGTGCCATTCTTCAGTCATTTGAAGTGACCCTCAACATTAGGCGGTAGGTTATCGCTATCTTTTCAACATTGCCTTTAGTATAAAACAAGCGGCCTGCTCCGGCTCCGCTCGGGTCTTTAACAAAAATTTCAACGATATTTGACGTTGTTTTATTTTTTTAAATAAAGGAACACTTATTGCGGCATATCTATAATAGTTGGACATATGCTGTCGGGACACTTTTTGTAAATAATAATGTGTTCTACAAAGTTGTAGTATTTTATTTTAAACTATCATCAATAGTTTTCGCAGGACACGCGATGTAAAGAATATTTTAAGTAATTTTTTTACACCTTGGGTTACATTATTGGAGTTTTAGTAAAGATCCCTAATTTTTTTCAAAAAACATATAGCCTATGTCACTCGAGAATAGTGTAGCTTCCAAACAGTGAAAGAATTCTTCAAATCGGTTCGGTAGTTTCGGAGCCTATTCAATACAAATAAACAAACAAATCTTTCCTCTTTATAATATTAGTATAGATATATATATATCTGAGTTCCTTGTAAACGTGACTTACACGGTTCTATTAAGCTACAAGGGTGTGAAAATTCATAAAAAAATCTCCTTAAAATATCAATGTCATAATTCAATAACCAAGCATAACAAAAACTCGTTGCCGCGCCAACCTTCCGAGCCCCTTTCACGTGTCCCCTCAATTGAAAAATATCGAATGAAACATTAATCGACGGGCCCGCTAAGCGCACATCATCAATCAACATCGGGACCAACGAATAGACGCTGAAAATGTACACAAATACATCATAATCCGTCACCGAAACGCGAGAAATGTGACATTGGGGGAATTCGGGGCTCGATAGTTGGCCCTTACAATTCCTGTGCCTTATTTCTTTTAGTATTCATAATCGGATGAGTCCACGACCACTTTGTGTGTAGTGGCTAAGGAAGACCAGACATCAAACGTTTTTATTTATTGCCTTAGTAAGTAAACGAACATACCGGGTATAGCAAGACGCAGTCTACTACTAAGTACTCTCCGTAAACCTCGTCCGAAGAAGCCCATGTTATAAATGCTCTCACTCACATTAAAACAGATAGCTATCTCTGTCTTTTCATGAAATCCTGTATTAAAAATAAGAGCTGTCCTTTTTTTTTTTAAATGCAACATAGTAATACCTGGCAGATGCATACGGGGTTCTATATTTTTTAATATTGCTTTTTATGATTCCACACTTGGAAGCGGCGACTGCTTTGCGACACCAATTGACAGATTAGTGGTGCTGGTTCAATAAGTCGTCGTGGCCAAAGGGATAAGACGTCCGGTGCATTCGTATGTAGCGATGTACCATTTTTTTCTAATGAAATACGTACTTAACAAATGTTCACGATTGACTTCCACGGTGAAGGAATAGCATCGTGTAATAAAAATCAAACCTGCAAAATTATAATTTGCGTAATTACTGGTCGTAGGACCTCTTGTGAGTCCGCAGGGTAGGTAACACCACCCTGTTTATTTCTGCCGTGAAGTAGTAATGCGTTTCGGTTTGAAGGGTGGGGCAGCCTTTGTGACTATACTAAGACCTTAGAACTCATATCTCAAGGTGGATGGCGGCATTTACGTTGTAGATGTATATGGGCTCCAGTAACCACCAAACACCAGGCGGGCTGTGAGCTCGTCCACCCATCTAAGCAATAAAAAAAGCCTTGTCCGTGTGAGCTTATAGTATCACCGGGAAAAACTGACGAAAGGCTATCGTTTGGTTCAGATTTGAATATAAGGTAGCTCTTTAAATTCGCATCCAATTACGATCGCCGACGACCGTGCTATCGCAATAATTCATATTCAAATGCAAAGTCAAAACTAATTTCGGAGTTCACCACGCCAACGACCGTGCATTTGGAATCCGTGTCTGAACGGCTTATAAAATATGCAGACATTGTCAGTGTGTATTTTTTTTTTTTTTTTTTTTTTTTTTTTATGATTGAAAGTTTACTGGTGGCCCGAAGGCCTTTCCAGTTTCACCAGGACAGGTGGGCGAGCAAAGGCTCAGCCAAGAGGGGTGGGATTTGCTAACAACTGCCCGAGCGCCTCCGAAGGAGACCTAACAACTCAAGAGCAATTGTTTCGCGAATGAATCTACTACCGGATCGGAATCGCGACCCGCTGAGAAGATCCGGCGAGAAACTCAGCGGGCTGATGCATGGGTTAGGTTGCACGTCGACCTCTTTGTCGAGTTCGACGAGTACGGTTACCGGGGTCCCTAAGCCTGCCCCTAGTATTAGAGCTGAAGGCATCTAATGCAAAGGTTATTGGATCTGATGGATCCGTAAGGACGTGTCTAGGGCGTCGACGGTGACTGGCTCCTGCATGATCAGGATTCGGGGAGTAGTCAGCGGCGGCAACGATAAGGCGATTATCATGACGCATAGCCTTATCGAAGTATCGTTCCGACGCTGACTTCATGTATTTCCGAATTGATTCGAGGCCCAGGTCGTCGTGTAGGTCAACGTTCCTCACGAACCACGGAGCCCCGACAGCTAACCTGCAAAAGCGGGATTGTAGGGATTGGAGGGTGTCTATGTGTGTGCGGGCCGCGTGAGCGAACACCACACTCGCGTAAGTCATGACGGGCCTTATGCAAGTTTTGTAAAGTGTCACCTTGTTCCGAAGGGACATTTTACTCCGCTTACAGATCATGGGGTAGAGTCTACCGAGAATAAACGCGGCACGGTCACGGACTGATTTTATATGCGGGCGGAATGTCATCGATGCATCCAGGGTAACGCCCAGGTACTTGACCTTCCTGGCCCAGGGTATGGGTTGTCTAAAGAGAGTAATCGGGGGTGTGAGATTCCTCCTCCTAATCCGGGAGGAAATCCGTGTGGAGCTTCCCCTCTGAAATAGCACCGCAGTACTTTTCGCTGGGTTGATGTCTATGCGCCATTTTCGGAACCACTGTCCTAGGGCTAGGGCTGCGCTCTGAAGCTTCTTCGCGATTAGGGACTTATTTCTACTAGAATAGTAAACAGTCGTGTCGTCGGCGAATAAAGCTAAATGGGTCGGCGGCGACCGGGGAATATCGTTGACGAATAAGCTAAATAGGAGGGGTGAGAGGACAGAGCCTTGCGGGACTCCAGCTGTGAGAGGTCGTGGGGAGGAGCGGGTTCCCTCGACTCGATATCGAAAAGAGCGGTTCGACAAGAAGTCCCGTATGATGAGCACGAGACTATCCGGCACGCCCATGTTGAATAGTTTGAAAATCAAACCATTGTGCCAGACTTTGTCGAACGCTTTTGCGACGTCGAAGAAGAGAGCTCCCGTGTATAACGGTTTTGGTCGATTAAGCCCCACAAGAATGTGCTCCGTGAGGCGGTGCACCTGTTGAACGCATGAGTGATTTGTACGGAATCCGAATTGTTCATCGATGAGAATGCCCTTGGATGAGACGAAGTCTCTGAGGCGTTTGTAGAGCAGACGCTCATACAGTTTGCCTAGAGACATGAGGAGGCTAATCGGGCGGTAGCTCGTCGGATGATTTTTTGGTTTACCGGGTTTATGTATGCCGATAACGTCCGCTTCTTTCCACACCGCGGGAAAGATACAGTTCGCCATAGCGGCATTGAAAATAGATGCCAACATCACGATGAGTTGGACGGGTAGAAGTTTAATAACGCGGTTGGATATACCGTCGGAACCGGGAGCCTTGCGAGGACGTAGGTCTTTGATCAAGTCTTTAACTTCCATCGGGGTGACGGGTGGTAACGCATCAGAGGGTGGCAAGGAGGCTCTGCGTTCTACCTCACTGTCTACTAATTCTACATGAACAGGGTCCACGGATTGAGTGCTGGGCGTGCACTGGGTTTGCAATGTATCGGCCAGCAGCTCTGCTTTTTCGTCATCATCGAACGCCGCGAGTCGGCCTGAGGGGCCTACGAGGGGGGGCATAGTTACTACCGTATCCGATTTGAGAGTACGAGCTAAGCGGTAGTAAGACCTTTGGGAGGGCGGTCAGTGTGTATTATTGCCATGTACCTTGTTATGTACGAATATATACTGACCGCACGATTACAACGGTCCTACCCACTTCTGCCTTTTATTGTTGCATCGGGTGAACGATCTCTTGACTCACCTGGTTTTGAATGGTTACCGAAGATTATAAGCATGGCACCACCTTGAATATTTAGGATTATGTCTCCATCTATCTATATATACAAAAATGAATTGCTGTTCGTTAGTTTCGCTAAAACTCGAGAGCGGCTGGACCGATTTGGCTAATTTTGGTCTTGAATTATTTGTGGAAGTTCAGAGAAAGTTTAAAAGGTAGATAAATTTGAAAATGCTCAGGATTAAATAAAAATTACAATTTTGTTTTTCCGTTGATGTGTCCTCCGTCGGACGGATTCCTTTTGTTTGTTTTAAGTTTATTTTATACAAAA